TAGACAAAGCAAAGTTATTTTACGGTAGGTTAGATTAGTTTAGGTTAGCGTCAAGGTGTTTAATCATCAGGTGAAATAAGCTGGGTTACCTAATCATCAGGTAATCCTAATTATAAATATTCCCCAGGTAAATTACAACAGGTGAACTTTAATCCTTCTAATCATTAACACCTGACCAGACCTCAACGTGATGCCAAATTATTTACTAATTTATTATGAATTTTCACACCCAAATAAATACCGTACTTAGATTACTATTTGTGTAGTATTGTGGTCTTAAGTAAATACAAGTAATTTTATATTGTGATGTTAGTAAAGTGTTTATATTACTTAGATAAATAGAACAGGTAAGTCATTAGATGGGAACAGGTATGGTGGGGGGGGGGGAAGGGGTTACAACAAGAGATATAAGGGAGTCAGATACCCTTACTATTGACTTTATTCTGCCGACGTTGGTCTTGTAGCTTCTCACGCGGGTGTTGTCAACTCTGTCAGTTTTCAGTCAAAGAGCAAGTCTGGTTAGATCAGTCATCCATCTCCTTCAGTTGATTAGTCAGCCTGCCCAGTCAGACCAACCTGTCAACAGTCGAGTCAAGTCAATCAACCAACCCAAGTGAGTCAATCAGTCAACCAGCCTAGCAAGTCAATCAACCAACCGAGTCAAGTCAATCAACCAGCCCAGTCAAGTCAATCAACCAACCCAAGTGAGTCAATCAGTCAACCAGCCTAGCAAGTCAATCAACCAACCGAGTCAAGTCAATCAACCGAGTCAAGTCAATCAACCAGCCCAGTAAAGTCAATCAACCAACCGAGTCAAGTCAATCAACCAACCGAGTCAAGTCAATCAACCAACCGAGTCAAGTCAATTAACCAGCCCAGTCAAGTCAATCACCCAACCGAGTCAAGTCAATACCAACCGAGTCAAGTCAATCAACCCATCCAGCTCAATCAATCAACCATACCACCCCATCCTAATCAACCAATCGAGATGAGGTGCCCACCATTACCCAACATCAACGAATATGAATGGGAATATAAACTTAAACTCTCCTTAAATAAGAGACGTGATGAGGCCAACTTCGTGAAGGACCGATACCCCGACTGTGTTCCTGTAGTAATCGGGGAACTTGACCCACACACTAACCTGGTCAAGAGTATAAGGTGCATTGTCCCCTCCTACATGACCTGCCCTTCGTTGTTATTCAGTGTACAGGAGATAGTGGTGTTTCCTGAAGGTTCGCGTGTGTCTATGTCCGTAGGAGGTATAGAGCCTTCTCCTGACGAAGATGTACAACGCCTCTATGAACAGTTTAAGGATAGTGATGAACATTTGTATATCTTTTATACTGTGGAGGTCTTAGATGATGATGATGATGATGCTGATGATAGTGATGATGATGGTGTGTGTAAATAGATGGTGGTGATGGTGATTTATGTTGTCTACGGTGGCTGAACTGGTGTCAAATGTGGGAACTGTTGGAAATATTCTCCCGACCATCCCTGAGGTGCCAGTATTAGTGGTCAACGTCTTCACAACATATGAGTTAGACAAATTTCTCGTGTCTGACTGTCTGTTTGTCTACACCCGTCAAGAACATCATGATTCATTACACTGTTTTGTAATATATTTCAAGTACATCATCATTACATTAGTACAGTACAAACGTCTATGTCCATATTTTTTTGTACATTATATAATATATTTGATTAGCGTGTTTTTTTTTGTCTGATATCATTTACAATAAACCAAACACCGATTTTTGTGTTTGCTTTTAAATCCTGTCGTTGTTTACATCTGAAAAAAAGTTACTTTATATATGGTGCTGAGAGAGAGAATAGTGAATAATATTATCCCTAAGTTATGACGTCACTTGACCCCTGATATAGTGAGGTCAACCAGTAACCTTGAACACCTGTGTGGGAGAGAGTCAGGCAGGTCACTACACCGTTAGCCCCTCAGGTCACTATTGTTGACCTCCTGGGGTCATGTGACGTACCAAATGATATATTACAGTATATAAATATTGAATGGGAAGAACTAATGAAAGGGGACAATGTATGTACCAATAATTTGAATAGCTGTACCAATACATATATAATATACTAATAATTCCTATATGAACCTTAACACGATTATATATATTATAAGTATATATATTAACGGTTACAGTTCATGGTCAGAGGTCAGTCAAGTCATCTATGTGAATGACCTTTCCTGGAATAGGTCACTCACTCTCCTGCAATGGTGGGTCAACTCCACCTTGGGACACCACACACGTCATTGGTTAACACAGAGGTCACGACAGAGGCCACAGGTCATAAGCCAAGACAGGTCATTTTGTTATTTGCAGCCAAACTGACAGGCAGACAGACAGCCTTTAGGTTAGACCGAGACCTCGTGAAATAAATAAAATCAACAAAAACAAAGTTTCGTAAGGAAATATGTTAATAAACTCTATATCATCAAGTTATAGTTTCATAACCATCACCATTAACCAAAGGTGTTCTCCCGGTGGGCGGAAATAAAGTCCACAGGAAAAAAAGTCACATGACTTGTACACATTGACAACACAATATATATACATGATGGCATGGCGGGTAGGTTAGGTTCTTACCATGCCTTTTTATCTGTGACTTTTTTCTTGTTGACCCACCATTGCAGGAGAGTGAGTGACCTATTCCAGGAAAGGTCATTCACATAGATGACTTGACTGACCTCTGACCATGAACTGTAACCGTTAATATATATACTTATAATATATATAATCGTGTTAAGGTTCATATAGGAATTATTAGTATATTATATATGTATTGGTACAGCTATTCAAATTATTGGTACATACATTGTCCCCTTTCATTAGTTCTCCCCATTCAATATTTATAATCAACCAACTACACTAACGCCTCTATAGGTGCGAGCAATACCTCCCATCTCATAACGAGGAGGAACTCCCTGAAGGTGATGTCCCCGGGAATACAAAATCTCGTCTGTTTTAACTCCTCAATCTCCTCCTGCTGGGGTAATTTCCCTGTGATTGGGATTTTGTTGGGGTATTTTTGGTGTAGTTTAAGGAGCTGCCATGCACAGGCCAACCGGGGTATTGCAGACTCAGTATGTTCTTTTGTTCTTATGTTTGTCGTTTTTCTATGGGTTTTTTGTTCTTGTAGGGCCAATATGGTGGTGTTTTGGTACGAGGGTTGTATATGAAAAGGGTGATTTTTTTCATTTTATGTTTTGTGGGGATTTTATTGTTATTGTTTTCTGTTTTTTTCTTTTTTGTCACTTTTTTAATTTTCTTTCCTGTTTTCTCTCCTCCCTTTCTTGTTCTTCTTCCTCTTCTCTCCCATACTCTTCCACCACCTCTTGAACAATACTCTTAGGTCTCACTGAAGCTCTCTTACCCAGGACACACGACACAGCACTGCCTCTCAAACCACTAGGTCCATGACAAAAACCCCACTGGACAAAATCCCCTTGGACAAGAACTCCACCTCTTCCGGACAAAAATCCCATCTCTACTGGAACCTAACCTAACCTAACGTTAAATGAAATTTGTATGAAAAATAAAAACGAGCTATCTAGCTTCCGACTGTATTCATAGACTGCTTAAGGAAAACTGAATTAGTGCACAAGTGAACAAGGTTTTTATACAGTTCGCCTCATGGTACCACACGTCATTAAACTGACCTGAGATTGTGAGGTCACGGGTCCCCTGAGGTCTCAAAAAGTGAGGATAGTAATGATAAGATCTAATATCAAAGTGGATTTGTAGGAAAATTATTAGAAACTTTAAACAATTTCTGTTTTATTTTTTACTATGTGGGGTCTTTGTGCGGTAGGGGTGGGGTCTTTGTCCGGTAGGGGTGGGGGTCTTTGTCCGGTAGGGGTGGGGTTTTGTCCGGTAGAAAGGGTCTTTGTCCGGTAGGGGTGGGGTCTTTGTCCGGTAGGGTCCAAGGGGTGGGGTCTGTCCAGTAGTATGTGGGGTCTTTGTGCGGTAGGGGTGGGGTCTTTGTCCGGTAGGGGTGGGGGTCTTTGTCCGGTAGGGGTGGGGTCTTTGTCCGGTAGGGGTGGGGTCTTTGTCCGGTTGGGGTGGGGTCTTTGTCCGGTGGGGTTTTTTTCCGTATCCCCACCACTACACAGACTGACAGGCCTTTCATCTTACCTGTTGTTAATTACACGTGAACACCTGCCAACACCTGTGGTATAAGAGGATTTGAGTTATCTAAAGATTACACACCTCAGAGCTTATTTTACCTGATGATTAACAAGCTTAATGTTACCTGGGGATTGGGTTAGGTTAGGTTATGTGAGGATGGGATGGGGTTGGATGTTTGTCTGACTGTCTGTAGGTAGTTAGGTAATTAGGCGGATATTATAACCTGTAATTAATAACCTCTTTCATAGACCTTGATGACTTAGGTTATCAGTGGGGTCAGAGGGAGAGAGAAGGAGGGAGGGAAATATTGTACTGTAGAAGGTCTAGTTTTTTTATCGAGTTATCTTCCTTAATTAACCTTCATATCATCATTAGGTTAGGTTAGGTTAGGGTGTTTAATCATTGGGTGAAATAAACTGGGTTGCCTAATTTTCAGGTGATCGAAGACGAGCCTTGTAGATGAAGAACCTTGAAACACCGAAAGAAGATAGAGCGATAATTAGTTAGTTAATGGGTTTCTGGAACCACCTTTAACAATTAAGGCTTTATCGTCCCCAAGAGGATGAAGGGAGGGGGAGGAAGAAAGGACACAGGAGCCGAGGAGGAAGAATAAGAAGGGAGAGGGAGTGGAGGTTAAAGGGGAGGCGCAAAAGGAAGAGAAGGGGAGGGGGAGGAGGGGGGTTTAAGTAAGTACGTTGCCACTCCGCCTCTCCAAGAGTTGAGGAGGACTCTGCTTTATATATCTTCGTCACACAACCTCCTGCATGGACACTGAGGTCTCAACACACATACAGACACCTCCTTCATCCATCAGTAAGCTTCAAGACAATAACTATCCTCAACATGTCGACGATGGCAGTTCAAGTCATCACCTTCGTCATCCTCCTGCTGGCGATGACGTGTGAGGAGGTACGAGGTCAAAATTTGAACATCAACTTACAGTCATTGATGCGAGACCTCAACAATCCCGATTTGGTGGAGTTCCAGGTGGCGTGTGTAGCCAATCAGGGACCTTGTGACGAGAGAGGACGTCAGCTGAGCCTGTATATCCCCGTCTTGTTTGAAGGAGGCAGGTGTTTCAGGTGCAGCCGTGAGGAGAACAGGAACCTGAGGGTGTTGGTGTCCATACTCCAGAGACGTTACCCTCGCTGCTGGAACGCTATTATTGCCGTCCGACAGAAGAGTTCTGGACCAAAACCCCAAGCTAGAGGATGTACGCGATAGGTCCTTCATGGGTCCTATACAAGATAATTTTCTGTCTCGTAGGATTTCCAAGTACTGAGTTTACCCTGCTTATTAGGACCCGTAGGATCTCCAGGAAGCAGGATATGCAGGATTTCTCGCGGCTCTACAGAACGTGACTTGTCTTGTGTATCATCGTAGACTCATTTTTATAATACAAATAAATGTGTTAATTATTGAAGGATATTTTTGCTCTTAGATCATTCTGTAGGTGAGTGTGAGTCGGTGTTACCTGGTCAAGGTGTGAGGGACGAGGAGGGAATACCACTGATACCTACACTGACATTACTAGCAGAAAGAAAGGGAGGGAGAGAGAGATGAAGGGTAAGGGCAAAGGGAGGGAGGAGAGAGAGATGGAGAGATAAGAACATAAGAAAATAAGGAGTCTGCAATAGGCCGGTTGGACTGTGCATGGCAGCTCCTGTCGAGAGTTACTACCACTCTCTATCATCCATGAATCTATCTAGCCTCCTTTTGAAACTTTACAGAGTTCCCGCACTTACTACAAAGTTGCTAAGCTTGTTCCACTCGTCCACCACCCTATTTGTGAATCAGCTTCTTCCTATCTCCCTCCTAAACCTAAACTTATCCAACTTGAATCCGTTGCTCCGAGTCCTATCCTGCTCGGATATTATAAGAACTTTATCTATATCCCCTTTATTGATTCCTTTCACCCACTTAAATACTTCTATCATATCTCCCGCACTCTTCGTCTTTCTAGGGAATGCAAGTTAAGTTTCTTTAACCTATCCTGATATGGAAGGTTTCTAAGTCCCGGAATCATTTTGTCATTCTTCGCTGCACCGACTCTAGTGAATTTGATATCCATTCTATAATACTGGGGCCTAGGCCAGCAGTACCCCTAGGTCTCTTTCACAAGTCGACTTCTCTAGGTTGATAATATACAGTATTTGTAAGTACGCTGCACTTGCTGGTGTTGAATTTCATTTGCCATTTTTCAGACCACCCCTGCAGTTTATTTAGATCCTCCTGTAATGCATTTGCATCCTGCCCTGAATTAATTTGCCGCCCTATTTTGGTGTCATTCGCAAACTTGCTTATGTCACTGCTGATCCCAGTATCTAAATCGTTTATGTAGATTATGAACGAGAGTGGGCCTAGTACTGACCCCTGGGGAACCCCAGATGATAAGAGACACAGGATGAATTATGGTATTAGGGAGGAGAGGCGGTGAAGATAATGTTCTCTCTCTCTCTCTCTCTCTCTCTCTCTCTCTCTCTCTCTCTCTCTCTCTCTATGTTACTGTGGTGAGGAAGTGGTGCTGTCATTCCTCTCTTTACATAAGAAAATAAGGAGTCTGCAATAGGCCGGTTGGCCTGTGCATGGCAGCTCCTGTCGAGAGTTACTACTGGAAGAACAAATACTGATAATATATACAGCCTTAACAACATCAACCTAGCAAGTCGACTTGTGAAAGAGACCTAGGGGTACTTGTAAGCCCGGACCTACGGCCTAGAAAACAGTGCGTTAATGTTCGAAATAAGGCAAACAGAGTATTAGGTTTTATATCTAGAAGTGTAAGTAATAAGAGTGTAGAGGTCTTATTGCAACTATTTCTTGCGCTAGTCAGGCCGCACCTCGATTATGCGGTTCAGTTCTGGTGCCCCTATTATAGAATGGATATAAATTCACTAGAGTCGGTGCAGAGAAGAAGGACGAAAATGATTCCGGGACTTAGAAACCTTCCATATCAGGATAGGTTAAAGAAACTTAACTTGCATTCCCTAGAAAGACGAAGAGTGCGGGGAGATATGATAGAAGTATTTAAGCGGGTGAAAGGAATCAATGAAGGGGATATAGATAAAGTTCTTATAATATTCGAGCAGGATAGGACTCGGAGCAACGGATTTAAGTTGGATAAGTTTAGGTTTAGGAGGCAGATAGGAAGAAACTGGTTCACAAATAGGGTGGTGGACGAGTGGAACAAGCTTAGCAACTTTGTAGTACGTGCGGGAACTCTGGAAGGTTTCAAAAGGAGGCTAGATAGATTCATGGATGATAGAGAGTGGTAGTAACTCTCGACAGGAGCTGCCATGCACAGTCCAACCGGCCTATTGCAGACTCCTTATTTTCTTATGTTCTTATATAAACGTCAGTGTTATGCAGGAAACCTTTGATTAAAAAAATTATTGAAATTGCTGAAAGACAAACTAGTACTACTACTACTACTTTGCTGTCAGCCGTTGTTGACAGAGTGATATAAGTTATTAGTGATGTCGCCTTCGTTGGTGAGCTGTGAGGTGGCTGGTAAGGTCGTCTCCCTCTTCCCTCCCTCCCTCTACCTCTCGCCACTCTCTCCCCTCCACCCATGACAGTATGAGTCGCTCGTTGTGTCTGTCTCTAGCCAAATGTCTTCAGCTTAATGCATGATTTTCCTCCTTCTTTTCTTCCCATCCTCCAACTTCTCTCTCTCCCTCTTCTCCACCCTTCATCTTCTCTCCATACTCTCCCTCTAACACCTTTCCTCACTACTCTTCTTTCCTTTCCTTCCCTTCCTTTCACCCACCTTCCTTCCTTCCTTCCTCCTCCCCCCTACACCTTCCTCCTCTCCCTCCAACACCTTTCCTCACTACTCTTCTTTCCCTTTCCTTTCCTTCCTTCCCTTTCCCCTTTACCCACCCTTCCTTCCTTCCTTCCTCCTCCCCACCTACACCCTTCCTCCTCTCCCTCACTCACCCCCCTTCTCTCCTCTCCCTCCAACACCATCTCAACTCTACCCTTCCCTCTCACCTCACCCCCTTGGGAGGTCCCCAGCAGTGCTCGACCACCAGGACGACCCCTCACTCCACGGCGCCCTCCTCACGACCCCCTCCCGTATTTTTGGGTAACACGGACAGAGGATCAGTCGCTGTGACATTGAGGGTTGTCTTGGACCACAGCATCTTCCTACCTCCTCCTCCTTCTGCCCCACTCCTCCTCTCCCTCCTCCTCTCCCTGCTCCCCCCCCCCTCTCCCTCCTCCTCCAACCAGGGACTAAGGGAGCAGGACCCCAAGGGAGGGCTTTACACCACTACACATCCACCCAAGACATGACCTAGTCCTCCTCTTCCTACCCAAGGCTGCCGTCGGTACCTGATGCTGCTGTTGTGACTCTCTCTCTCTCTCTCTCTCTCTCTCTCTCTCTCCTTGATGCTTCGTTACTGCCTGCTATAAAAAACGGGGTATGGGTGGTGAGTCAACATTCAATAACTTTTTACCATGACATCTCTTGGTTTGTTTTGGTTCAATTTGCTCCAAAATTTTATCACGTTGACTTTGGTTCATGTTGATCAAACCTACCAAATGGTGTGTTAATCTACCGATACTAACACGAGCTATTTTGGGGAGACAGACAGACAGACAGACAGACAGACAGACAAACCCCAGTGAAATGTAATACAAAAAGAGGAAGAAGGGAGAGGAGGAGGAGGAGGATGAAGACTACTGTGAGAAACGGAGGGAGAAGGGTGAGTTAGGTAAGGAAGGGAGAGTCAATGAGGGAATGTAAACAGGAATTCGAGAGAAAGAGAGAGGGGTAGGGACAAGAAGTGGGGAACAGACAGTGAAAGAAGTGAGACAGAGAAAGAGAGAGTAAGCTAGAAAGAGAGAGAGAGAAAGACAGAAAGAGAATGCACACTAAAACAAGGATGATACCACGGTGGGGGAGGGAGGTGGGAGAGGAAGGAGAGGGTGAAGGTTGACACATAATGTTCTGGGTCCAAGATGTCGCAAGTTGGGCAGCGACATTACTCGAGGAAGAATAAACTAAATGTCAACGGGAGAGCGAGGCAACACACGCCCAACATGACAATAAATAGACGCAGGGAAGCCAGACATGTTAGGAGGCGACAGTCTCTTGTTTTCCCCGGGGTTTATAGGGTGGAGGAGATAGGCTGGCTGAGTGGCGTCTTTACTGCTGTTAAAACACACACGACCACCTCCCGACCCCTCCTTCCCTCCCGACCCCTCCTTCCCTCCAGTCTCCCTCCCTCCCTCCTCCCATCGTCTTGACCTGACCTGAGTCACCACGACCTGTGATTTATAGAGCTGGATATATATATATATATATATATATATATATATATATGTATATTGGAAAATAACCACAAGGAAAGAAGAAACACAGAAGTTCCCAAGCGCTTTCGTGTAATTCACATCTTCAGGGGTAGTACGGGCTTAGTCTGTGCTTTCACCCTGTGTAGCGCTGAAAGCTATATATATATATATATATATATATATATGTGTGACATTTATAACAGTAATTTATATATAAAATATAGTGTAAAAAAGCCGAGGTGACATTTAGAATTAAGAAAAGGTCTTATATATACTTAGAAATACTGTGACTATAGAAAACGGGTAAAAACATCAAAAGCAAGAAAAATAATTAATATATCACCCCAACCCCACCTTCCCCTCCCCCTCCCCTTCCCCCTCCCCTTCCCTTCCCCCTCCTCCCTCCCCACCTCCCCTCCCCCCTCCTTCCTCCCATAAACAGACTAAATAATAGCGCTCTGCTTAGGTAGCAAAATAAAAAAAGTTCTTAGCAAAAGTTTTTCTCTCCAAAAACTTTTTGCAAATTCAATAAACCTGAGCCTGTCTACCTGATTGGAGCTAAATTGTTTAATGAGGCCGCATAACAGGACCAAATTGTTGAGAAAATTGTTAAGAAGTTACCTGTAGAAACTGTCGGGTGTCAGCGGCCCAAATTTGCTCACTTAAGGGTAAAATTGGTAATAGGTAAACGTCGTGATTGGTGGGGTCAGGGTGGGGTGGGGTGGGGTGCGGTGGGGTGGGGTTAGGGTGGGGTGGGTTAGGGTGGAGTGGGGTGGGGTGGGGTTTTGGGTGGTGAGTCATTATTCCTGGTAAAGTTTTGGTAGTCTGATGGAAGATTCGTCTCTCTCTCTCTCTCTCTATGTATTCTTCAGGTAGACAACACAGGTAGGGGAGGCGGTGGCTGGCTGGGTTCCACGTTCGTCTTG